GGTTGTCGTTTGTGACTGTATCAGTTTTCCCAGCTTGACTCGTCTCAATACCACAGTTTGATAAATTTTTTATGTATCAATTAAAATAATGTTTTAGCATTTGCAAGCTAATTAATGGTTGCAAGGACCAAAAGTAAGTTTTTTATATAGTGAAGTGGAAACTGTAAGAAAATTATATATTTATTTTGTAGGCAGCAAAATTTATCTATGATTTTCTATTCATTCAACTTCTGATGAATATCTTGACAGTTAATGCAGCTTTCTCTTTGAAAGTTGACATATTCTATAAATAGTTAACTTATTACCATAGTATTGTTCCTGTCAATGTCTCAAATGTTATTTAATGCTGTTGTGTTTTTGGGTGTCTGATAACATGTGTTTATTAAGAGAGTGACTTAATTCTTTATTTGTGATTTTTTTCCTGTTTGTTTATTTTGCTGATTGCTTTTCAACCTTTGCTGCTAAAGGTGAAAGCTAATGAAGGGGAGGGCCCGGAACTACTTCGTAGTGCATCTGACAGCAGTAGCAGTGGGCATGCGGAGTCACTGGCTGCAACTCTTGCAGAACATCGCCAACATTTAGTTAGCATACAGGTCTAGTGATACCGGGATAACACTAATCATTTAGGGGCTAGTCCTCTCTGTAAAATTTCAGACCTTTATCCCTTTACGTTTATGATAATCCTTTTGCATTTTGATTCTTATAATTATTGATCTGTTCTTATCTGAATTTTAAGTGAGCAATCTGGTTGGATTTATTTAAAGCATAATTGAATTTTGTTAAAAAAACTGTATTTTGCCATATTTTCAACCCTAACTTCACATTAATCCTTCAATTTCATCTACATTGGGTTCTCGGCCATGTGACACGTTTTCTTGTATGTGGTGTATGCCTCAGCTGTGATTAGGAAACATATCAATAGTTCTAATCACATTGTGGGCATTTCCTTTTGTGTAAAATCGTGCTTTTTTATTTTTATTTTCCTTTTCTCCTGGTGTTCTGGTTTTTTATTTTGCGCATGTCTTACATTAACTTATCCTGCTATTCAGGGACTTGTTGATCAACTAAAGGAAGTCATTCCAGCAATGCAGATGTCAATTTCAGATCTCACTGAAGAAGTAAACAATATTTCTTCAACCATGGTAGATGGGTTTAGTGTGCAATCAAGCACAACTGTTCAGTACCAAAGTGCTGGAAGACAGTTGGTAGGAACTCCAGTTGTTTTAATGCTTTCATACATTTGAACTTTATATAATTTTTTTGCCTCTATGTACTTCTAATGAATTTGAAATTTTATTAACAGGAAAGGTTGACTGATGAAGTTGCTGAGATGACTTCTAAATTCTCCTCTGCTCAGATTGAGAAAGTCTCCGGTAGTCCAACTTTGAAACTCCCTCATTTATTCAATCTAACTCCAAATTCATTGGGGAAAGGCAACCAAGCACCAAAGCAGCATCCTGTAGGTAGTCAAACCAATCAGGAAACTTTGCCAGCCCCAAAAACAGTTTCACCTCCAGTTACAATTGATGAAGATGGTGAAGCACAAGGTCAGCGCCTTCAGCCATTACCCACTTGAGGCGATCTTCAGATGTTGAAAACCAACAGCTATTATCCAGTTTCTACTTTGTTTACATAATAAATAGAGATGAGCAAATTTTACTTGTCTATTCACTATTCCATGTGGTTTAATTTTTCAGAGACTGATGATTATTATGCTCACAACATTCGTCGTTCTGTTCGTGAAGCTGCACTATCAAGCTCATCAAGCAACTCAGAATTGTTGCAGGAAAGAAGCAGTGATGATGGTTCTGAACACTTCTTTATACCTCTATCAACAACAGATGCTGCTTCTCAGAAAGAAATTGACTATGTTCCTAACTGGAGAAATCAACAACTGGTTTTCTCCTCGCCACGAGAAGTTCAGGCCCCGATGAACATGACAGATCTTTCCTGTAATGCCAATAGCCAGCAAAGCTTCATTCCAGATATGTTAAATAAATTGAATGGACTGAAGGAGAACAAAAACCTGGCCAGGCTGTTCCAACCATCCACTGAAAAAATACAAAGAACGCATCCTGAAGTTAACGACACTCTGGATCAAGTTTTCTCACCTCCATTGTTACTGGAATCATCATTCTTCCAAGATGCATACGAGGACTTGCTCGGTATGGTTAATATTTCCAGGCATGTGTTGGTATATTTTTTCAAACTGCCTAGTGTGGGTGTTGATTTTGGTCTTCACTGTCCACTCTGTTGGCTGAGTGCATTGCTCATAGTTCTTGTTCCTGATTACTACACCGCTAACTGTGGCAACCTTTTTCTTTTCTTCTGCAGCACCATTATCTGAAACTGATGCTGCTCTCATGGAACACTAGAGTTCCATATCCACCATGGTGGTGGTATTATATGCAGCTGAAGAGAAAGGTTAGATGCAGCCGTCTTGGTCAGAGGGCCAACATCATACATTTGTTTGCCATGCGATGGTGACTAACTTAAGCAACTGAAATGTAAGGGTTTCTAATTCGAGCTTGAATTGTGTGATGTAGTCTAATTTACATGCGATTTCACTGTTGTTGTTGGTTGTTTTGATGATGGTATCATTTTCTCTACCCGGTGTGTAGCAGCTGTAATTATGTTGTATCTTTTCCGACTTAACAAAATGTCCTTCTTACCCTTCAATGGCTTGTTTTAGATTTGTGGGTCAGATCTTTGTTATCGTCATGGGTAAATATTGGTGACATGTGGACTGCAAGTTATAATTCGGTATTTTGTGAATCAGGTTTTGTGCACAAGCAATCAGTTTGCCTACAAATGACTCATGGAGAATCCTCTGTAACCCATATGCAAATCAAAATTATAATTGCATATAACTATTACAATTTTCTTGGTAGTCTTCGGGTATAACTATCAAAATTCTAATTGCATATAACTATCATAATTCTAATTGCATATAACTATTTTAACATTAATTTTACCTTCGAAATCACTATTCTAACATCTTTGTGCGATGCAATAGCACAAACAAATTCTCAAAGAATCCATAAGCCTTTATCTGATTAGCTCTTCAAATTCTAAAACACTCTTTTAAAAAATTCACCGACTCACCCATCCTTCACCACAACTTTCTTGATGGCCATGCCTCCTTCATGGCAAAATCTTCTCTTGCTGTGCTCATCTGATGATTTTTCCTGTTTGAGAGGAGGCAAGACACTATTGACTTCAGATTCAGCTTGACTTAATACATGGGCTCCACTTGTTTCATCATCGTATTGGTCGCTAGTCTTTCTTCTCTTCTTGACTTTGCCAACTCTCTTCCTTTTAGATGCTTTCTCACCGCTAGAGATTGGCAATTCATCATTATCAACAGTTTCAGTATCATCCCATACTTGTAGATCAGCTTGTTGATCACAAGTATTGCCTTCGGAACCTGTTTAACAAGAATTTTGAGACGTTATCAAAATTTGTTTTACATGAGGAACGAGTTCCTTACAGATTTTCTAACAGACACACGAGATATTAACCATGTTAGTTATTTGAAATAGGTCAATCAAGTTATATGTACTAATATCACATTCATTTCCAACGTGGATCTACCGAAGTATCAAGTTGTATAGAGCCATAGAGCATGTAAATGTGAATTTGTAGCGTCAAATCCAAATTGTTAAATAAGTAATACCTTCGTCTGAGAAATGTGAATCGATCACCACATTTGTTAGATGTTGCTTGAGGAAAACCTATTAAAAAAAGAAATATACTCAATGATAGGTTTATACAAACCGAAAATATAAGGTGAACTGTTTGCAAGCACAAGTTCTTGAACCTATGCATTCCTCTACAATATGCATCCAGTTACCCCAGTATAACCTATAAATTAATGGGCTTTACATGAAACATGAATCTAAACCAAGAGGAAGAACTAACTTGCAAAGCACTACCAAACTTAAATTCCCTTCTTTAAAAACTGAAAATTTTGTTGAAGCAAGATCCATTTATGAACTGATAGTAGTTATAGCATACCGCAGATAGAAGTTGTCTTGTCTTTGCATCCCACACACGCAAATAGCTGTCCAATCCTATAAACCAATATCATCATTAAGCATGACCATATAAACCTATGACCAAAACACTAATGTATAATGTGGCGAGTAAAGAACTAAGGCTTCCACAAAAGCATAGTTTGGCATATTGCTTGTGAAGACATGACATGAAATTAAAAATATTTCATGCTTAACTATAGTTTTACCAAAAAAAACTCATAGCAAGAATATATATTACAGTTTCAAACATGACAAGAAATTTCAGTCAAAGCTCTAGGACCAGCAAAATAAGAGAAAAAGATTCTCTTACGTCTTCCACGTTCAAAATTATAGTTAACATTTAGTAAAAAGTAAACTTGAATTTGCAAGGTACAAGTCACCACAAACAAGTATCCCAAAGTATGGCAGTACACTTTTCAGAATGTATCATCTTTTTAAATTACCAACAAGAGAACTTCCAAAACAACACATTCAAATATTACAAATGATGTCCATCTGTTGAGTCTATTGAGGTGGGAACTACCTAAAACTTGATGATGCTTACTGCTACCATTGATATATTTTCTTCAATAAAATCTGTCAACATGACATAGCTAGAAATGAGAATTTCACATTAGGTCTGTGGTGTACAGCCCCAATGGTTAATCCAATCAGATTGGGGATTGGGTCAAGGTCGATGTCGGACCCAGGGTTGGGTTATAATTGTTCAAAACTAATCAGCACCAGGACAAGAACAATATTACCTATCCCCATCCCCATCTCAAGCCTCCCCCATCCTTCTCCACGTATCCGACCGCACCAGAAAAAAAACCCCAGCAACTTCATATAAGTAATTTCCCTACTATCTTGTTAATATAATTAAAGAATATATCAATAGTAAAAAATGTATTCATAAGTTATGAGATAACAGCTACATCAATCTTTGTTGGGTCAGAGATGGTACTAAGTTTATGAACCCGAGTCAAAGATGAGGCAGGGTCAGGGGACATGGCTCAATCCAATTCAACTGGGTCGGGTTTGAACAGATTTGACAGGGAAACAGACATAATCACGGTTGAATTGGGGTACAATTTTCCAAAACCGATTTAAGTCCAAGACAAGAACAGATATCACCTAACCCAACCACAAGCCTGCCTGCACCATCCCATCTCACCCCAATCGAAAAAATGAACCCCCTACTATCTTGCAAATATAACTGAAGCATATGCCAAGAATAATACATGTATTCTCATAGGAAATTCATGCAGTGGTAAGACAGCTAGTACCATTAATTTTTTGTGTGGGTCAGGGATGGTAATAAATTTATAAACCCGAGTCGAAGATGAGCAGGATGAGGGCCGTATGTTAGACATAACACTCTGGTTTTCATTAGAAACACAAATAGAAGGATGTTTATCTTTAACAAAGTTGATTGTAAAATAACTTCCAACAAACCATGAAAAGTGTGTCAAACATTGACCTTCAAGATGAAACAGTATGCACCCAGTGATTTCTATTGAAATGGAGGATCGTTACTCAATAAATCAAAGAACAATAGAAAGCTTGAAAAGTTACATTAAATGAAAACCAGCAAATATATTAAATTTGGTATATCTGAGTTATAAACTAAAAACTTCCAACATCGAACACTATTCTTTCTCCTTTTTTTCGAGGAAACAAAACACTATTTTGTGCCATGGTAGAAGTAAAGTTGACTGAATATGTTGAATTAACAGTATACAACTTCTTACCACAAGATGCTATCACAGGAAATTCTGGATGTCTCGCTATAGATCTGATGCTTCCAGAGCACTTACCAATAAAGCATCCCATCAATTTTCCTGAAAAGAAGGAAATCAACTGCCATCTAGTCAACATCAGGAGTTAGTTCTAAATATTAGTAACCCTGAATCACTTGAATCACCAGGGGCCAATTCATCATTGATAGAAGCTAATTATTAATTGTCTAACAGGTGATACAAATGTTAAACCATTACAAGAAAACTCAGATATTTCAAAATCAAAAGCATCAGAATAACGGTAAATACTACAATTCAAAAAACTAAAATGAATGGTACTACCCAATACTTTAACAACACTAGGAATTTGAATTGTTAAATAAGATTTTTCAGCTATAAGCATGTCCTAGCTTCAAGCTCACATTGGAAAAATCTACTCAGTTAATTAGATGAAATATTATTACTTGAACTGAGTTAATAACAGAAAATATAAGTTCCAGGTGAGTCAAGCTAGTTCCGTCTCTGATAATGAGCTCACTTCATTCACATTCTTTGGACCAAATCCTTAATCCAAGAGCACAGGTCACCAAAAATGTAAACATAAAGCATGAACTTCTCAGAAATGACAGAAAGCATTACTGCACAAAAAACAGGAGGATGACTACTTACCGCACATAGTTAAGAATAGTTGAGCCAGTTCATTGACAATGAAAAGAAATTAGAAGATCATGTAATCAACTGAGAAAACTATGTAATATAGAAGTTAGCATACCATACCTGCAACACATGTCACATTCAAACCTTTAGTTTCCTTGTTGGAACTGACTATTCCTGGTTCTATATTCTTAATTCATGTTGAGTCAAACTTTTTTTACGATTTCATAAAAGCCTTCAACATCAGCTGATTGCTTCTAAAATTGCTTATGATGTAGCCACATATATTGTCTGACATAAAACTGGTTGAAAGAATTTTCTGTTCTACTGAAAGTTTAACTCCAACAATTTGACCATAAAGGAATAACAAGTTGAGGTTCATCGGACAGCCCAAAAACTAAAAAGGTTTTATCGATGAAATAAAATAAGAAACCGAGATAATTTTGTCCATTATGGTAATAGGACTTCGTTTATTATAGGAGTAGGAACAAGTAGCTAGACATCTGATAAATGTCTATAAGAATCAAAGAGTCTTAGATATGAGATGATAACTAAACGGCAATCAGAGAAAGGATCTGATCAAGAAATTATATCCACAAAAAAAGAAAACAAAAGAGAAATAAACAAAACAGCTAAATATAATTAACAATGTAGTTGCACAGTGACCTTGTAGAACTATGACTTTCACCAGTTCACATACATGAAATTTCAAAATCATGAAATTATGATCATTAAAAACAACAAACAAAAGAGGATGAATGAATCAGGTAAATAAATTAAAGCATAGCCGCGTGGTGTACATGTAGAACTATGACTTTTACCTGTTCTCATATCAAATGAAGCAAGATCCCCAGAACCATTGCCTACATAGACTGTATAGCCATCTAGATCTTCACAAACTGCTTTAATTGGAGAATCTCTAAAGTCGACTGAAATTACAGGTCTCCTCTGTGCTGAAGTATCATAAAGACGAACCTATCACAAGATATATTTTTTAACAAATAAGAGAATAACAGCATACTGGTCATTAGAATCTCATGCGGACTGAGTAATTAGTTTACATCATTTTCTCAACTTCTAAAGCAATGGGTCAAGAACTATTAACCATATACAAAATATTCATTAACCAGGATAGACCATATGGTCAAGAATATTTCAACATTAATCAATAAACAGAAGAAAACTATTTATTAACTACAAGTTGGTTAACACTCCAAATGTGCAAGCAGTATTTGTAAAAAAGTTTGGTCAGGCACTGTTATCATAAAATCAAACTTAAGACTTTCAAATGTATCCTCGATCTCATGGCAACAATTGCAAAAGTTGTCGAAAGACTTACAATAAAAGTTATACTCGCAACTATTAGCATTTTCTAGCTTGTAAGCTACAACTAGTAAACATATTTCATAGTGCCATACCTGATGATTGTT